CAGCCATCCTGGAGAGCGCCCAGCAGGGCCTGCTGATTGGGCGAGGGGGCTATAAGCCCAGAGACATCTGTGTGTCTGCACCAACAGGCAGCGGCAAGACTCTGTCATTTGTCATCCCCATCATACAGGTGAGAGCCATGTCTTTGCTGCACCTGTAGCTCAGGTGGTAGAAGAGGTTACTTACTAACCGGTGGTTAGTAGGTGGTGGTTTGATCCCAGTCTGCTCCAGTCTGTATCCTTGGAAACCCACCCCATCGATGCATCCGTCAGAGTATGAATGTGTCTGAATGTTAGATCGGAAACACTTAGAAACAGCACTTGGGTGAATGTACAAGTTGTGTAAATAAGAACCGGTCCATTTACCATTTACTTTGTCTGCCGCCTGTTTGGAGTACACAGACAGTGAGGGTGTTTTCTGTGATCAGGTGCTGATGGACAGGGTGGTGTGTGAAGTCCGGGCTCTAGCCGTGTTGCCGACCAAAGAGCTCGCCCAGCAGGTGAGACCCTTTTCAAGCTGTTTGCGTCCCAGCAGTGCTCCACAGAGCCCGAAACTCAGCTCACATTGTCTCCTGTGCAGGTTCACAGGGTGTTTGCATCGTATGCCGAGGGAACCACGGTCAAAGTGGTGATGCTGGCAGGTCAGAAGTCCTTTGCTGCAGAACAGGCATCACTGTCAGAACACAGGTGAGAAATCGAGCTGGCTCTAATAAAGCTTCACAGAAACGCAGCGGCACATCTCCTGTCAGAGTCCTCGGTGCACATGTGCAGTGGGGAAAAGGCTGAGCTCAGCATCTATGTCATGTCCGTGCAGGTGGAACATGAGGCGTAGTCTAGCAGACATTGTTGTGGCCACTCCAGGACGACTCATTGACCACATGACCAAGAATTCAGGCTTATGTTTGGAACATCTGCGGTTTCTGGTGAGTGCTGTTGAAATCTGTCGAGCTGCAGTAGTGAGTTCACTCATCAGTGTGTGTCACACAGTGTGTGTCTGCTACTTGCTCAGGTGATCGATGAGGCGGACAGGATGATCGACAGCATGCACCAGTCCTGGCTCAGTCAGGTGATGGGAGCAGTGTACCGATCCAGAGCTGAACCCGGGTCAGTGTTCAGAAGGACAGAAGCAGCGTGCATCACATCAGCCAGGTGTGTGTGTGTGTGTGTGTGTGTGTGTGTGTGTTATCTACTGTGGGGTGATTGAGATGATGTCAGTCTCATTCTTGGCCACAGACTCAGGCCAGCAGAAGAAAAGCTTAAAGGTTACAGTTAAGTAATAAAAAGACAGCTGG